AAGTTTCGAATTCTAAAAAGACTATAACAAAAAATAGAAACGGATTCTATCTTTAGGAATATATATGCGGCTAATTGTGTGTCATAACTGAAAAGTTATATCTTGCTGTACGAGACGCGAATATTTTTGCTTGATATTTAAAAAGAATAACGAATACAACAATAATTGTATCACTTTCTGGTTTAGATATATACGTAAGTGATTTAGAGTATAAATATCATAATATTGGACAATTAATTGATCACATTTTATAATTTCTATTTATTTTATCTGTATATTAAACAAATTTTTAATTCATATCTTAAATCAATATAATCACAATATTGATAATATGATAAAATAATAATGTATAATATATACATTGCATCGATATGCAACTCTAATGCAACCCTGCTCTCATATTATAAATTCTCATGAAATAAATATAAGTGACATTTGTGTAATAATACACAAATTTATTTTATTGTACATTGTCCATAGCAACCACAGTACTGGCTAGTAATCTAGAAAAGACTACTTTTTTCTGCATACTTCTCTTACAAATATATTATTTGTTATATAAACTATGATATGATTTATTTACCTCTATACGTAGGTGAAGGAAAAAAATAGAATTAATAAAAAAAATATTATAGGTATAGCATATAAATACAGATACGAGATAGGCGCGGAACGTAGGGTAAATGATCACTTACGGAAATATTAGAAATTATAGCCTTAGAAGTCGGGTTTGTTTGACGCATACTTTTTAACATTCACCTGCTGCATATTAATCGTTGGACGAGATTAACCCCTTGCGTAGGCGTTCTACATGACTCGTTCTCATATGTCCGAAGTGGCCGTTTATGCTTGTCTTACATTGCTACTTACAGGAGCAAACTGCAAACTGGTTATTCCGATCATAAAGATTAATTAAAAAAAAAAAGTACAAGAGTAGTAAAGTTGACATTTTTTTTTTTTCTATCTTTTTCTAACGTAACAGATAAAAGCAAGGTGGATATATTAACTTTTTCAACGTTCAAATTAATAGCACTTTGCGCAATAGAATTGTGCGCCTCGTTACTCGCTTACACCGTGACTTTAATGTTACCTTTGATTTTTTTTTTAAAATAATACTCGGATGTATCCATGAGCAATAAAACGACAAGTAATTTATTCTATTATGTTGCTAATTAATTTTATATTTTTTATTCAAATTATTATTAACAATTATTGAGAAAACGTCACGGATTTAAAAGACATTTCTTAATACTGGTTAAACTTTGATAAGAGTTAGTTAATCAACGTCATAAAAATAAGTCAGTAAAATACGAGTTTCGAATCGGTGCTTGGTTTCCCGAAGTTCATAGAAAAATATAAATATACTCACAGAGAGGTAAGATATTATCTCATTGTTAGATATATAGTTAGCTTATCAGCACGCGATAATGATGCTTCTTCCTTCCTCCTGTTCAATTCATTTGCTCGAGATAGGATAAAGTATGGGAACGTTGAAATTTTTGTAACTCGCGTACCTATCGCTAACAGTTAACTTTCTTAGTCGCCTTCACGCACTGATTATTTTCAGTAAAAAGCCTAAGATATCTAGAGAAAGATAGCAAGAAAGAGGAAAAAGACTCTCGACTTCGGGTAAATGATCTCGCCTATCACATGCACACGTGTGTTTGATAGTGAGGGAACAACAACAAAAAAAAAACATTTATTTGCATAAAATAATATATTAGTGTTACTTTAAGATTATAATATATTGATAATGATATATAATATTATATTATTTAAATAATGTTAATAATTTTTATTATGAATATTGACGAATTAATAAAAATACAGATAACCAAATAAAAAAATATATTGACCTAATAGGATTGTAACTCATCGTAACTATAATAAATATAATGCAATCGTTTGAATGTAACACTGATAGCTAATAGAAAAGAAAATAATTAGTGCAAGTGGTATTTTTACAATGAATAAAAAAAAATCACATAGCGACTACTTCCGTTTGATATATTTGTCATTACGTATGCAAGATCGTATGAATTTAAATTCCTCCACTTGGCTTACTGCCGTTAAGCGAATTAACGTCATTGGTAATACTTGAAAAAAATCTTTGTTTATTTTTTCGCGTAATAACGTGTTTCATACATAGGTAAGTACTATATATATATATATATATACAATAGGTCTAAGTATCTCGTTAATTTTTTTTCTAAAAATCGATGAAAATTATATTTCTTGTTGCTACGTTAGTGAGAATGTAGGATTTGAAAAGAACATACTTTATTTTTTATTTCACACCGGTAAGCAAAATATACGTACTCGGTTTTCTTATCTCTAAACATATACCATAATTGAGCAAAACAGTTGACTTTTTTCGAGTCTGCATCTCATTTTGAAAAGTAAAAGGAGATAAACGTTATTGTTTACAGTCGAAACAGAACAGCTAATTGTCTAGAAGAAGTTTGACGCGAAAAGGATTTCCTACAATGTCAAAGTTATGCAAAGTTTGTGGGACCGATAAGATGCATTTGCTCGTGCTGTCTAGAGTGTGAACAGGGACGTATCATTTGTAAAGTGTATACATGTAAATATATATGTTACGTTACGATAAAATCAAAATATTCTTTGCTTTTAAATTTCAATTTGTATTTTATAGGGGTATATCTATATAATTATATATTTTCTAATTTAATATATTCATATAAATTTACGTATGAAAGAAATAAGGTATATCAAATAAATACTTGTGTATTAAAATTTATTAATTTATATTTAAATACGCGATGAAATATTGAAATTGAAATAAAAATTTAGCATTATAAGTACTTATCGTCGCAAATCGATTCTTTTGACAATGATTTTTTGTTCCTTTTAATATACGACAAGTTAATACGTAATCGCGTACACCCAAACGACGTATCTGTGTCACGTGTCTCGATATAATAGCAAGCAACGATTGCTATCGAATCAATGGGAGAATTATGTAGATACGCAACGTATGGCCCGCAAACGGGTAATTAAATATACGTAACAGTTGTCTCCCGAATGTCCATATGATCTAGTCAACCATAAAACGTGCTTAACGCGTCGACAGATATTACGGGAATTTACACGGTCATTGCACATACGGTATAGAAAAATTCTTTGCAACAGGTGTATCTGTAATTTTTGATATCGCGTCGAGGTGTAAGAGCTTTTTTCTTTTTTTCTTCTTTTTTCTTTTTTTTTTTCAATATCTCCTCTATCTTTTCTTTTTATTTTTATCTTTTCCCCTCTACTTTTTTTCTAATTTCATTGCATTTTATATATGCAATTACATCTAATATAATATATTAATTTAAGATATATACGATAAAGGTTAACGACACGCGCGATTAAATTTCAAATTTACATCTAGCATTACTATATTGTAACCATCGGCTTTCCATTTCGCATAGACCGCGTTTAAGGACGTCCGATGTGGTGGATCAGTTTTAACGTGGTTTTTCTGTGGTCAGATATAACACGATAACCGCGACTACCATTGTTGCTTGCACAACGAACCAAGAGACCAAACTTCGTACACACGTCGTTAGCCATCTTTAAAAACACCTTTCGATTTGACATAGTAACAAGAGGCATACAGGGTCTGTGTATCTATTTGATGAGATTAAAATTTTGTCTTTTTTTTTTTACAAATGAAAAGAAATTACATTGTTTAACAATTTCTAACAACAATAAGGACGAGAATATTAGTAATCTAATTAATTACTAATGACAAATAATTATACGATTGAATTATATCGATGAAAATATTTGATTACTCTAGTGAATAAAATTTGGCTTAAATATACGATGATAATTGCGACTATTTTTCTTGTTTACATAACAAGGCAAAAAATCAAATTCCGTATAGACGTCGTTGACCATCTTAAAAGTTGTTTTTTCGTGCTGATGTAGTAACACCAGGTAGCAGACATAGTTTAAAGGATCCTTTTTATTACACGATCCGTTAGTTTTACGACTGGTGTATCCTAAACTCTAGCTCTAGCCTGCAAATACCGTAAAATTCGTGAATCATTCTTAGGAAACTCGCCAACATGATTTCAGCTAGAAATTTATTTGTGGATGTCATCAAACTTTCGTTACGATTAAATAGAATCTAATTGTAAATGTCATCTTTAAATTAGAATCTCATCGCAATAATTTATCATTAGTAATTAATTTTCACTTAAATATTTTTGTGACAATAAAAGAAAAAAATAAAAAAAGAAAAAAAGAAAAGGAAACCTACCGACAAAGAACAAACGACGAAAATTTCCAAATACAACAATAATCTATATCTACAATCAGGCATACCACAAAACTGTCCGATATTGAAAAGACCCATTGGTCAAAGTGAAAGTTAGCGAGTTTCTCATTTTTTTTTATTGTTTTGTTTGTTCATTTATATTTTATGTTGTTTTTTTTTTCAACAATTTCAAGCACCCCAATCTCTTCCTCGTGATACATACAAGAACAAAAATTGAGAACAATAAAAAAAGCTCTTATTTAGATATGAAAAAGGGAAGAAGATGTATAAATAATGATGAAGAGGGGTTAAGGTAAAAGCTCGAAAAGATCGGACACAAGAGTGACCAAGCAGGTGAAACGGTTCGAAACGGGTCCGAAGCGAGTTTGGAGAGTTGTTTCAAAGCCGGAGGTGAAAAGCAGCATCGAGCAACAGCGTTAACAGGGAGAACTGGTTTCGGTAAAGCCTATATGCCAGCCAGGCCGGTAGTATAGTAGTTATATGAGTGTTAGTGGTGTGGTGGGGGTCAAGCGATCTGTTTCGACGTTACTGAGAGTGGTGACGGAGGTTTGTAGCGGAGGTGGAGGTGGTGGAGGAGGTGGTGGAGGTGGCGTCGGCGGCAAGAAAAGGAAAGAAGTGGGGGTTGACGGCTCGGCAGAAACAAGCGATCCTTTACAGTTATAGTCAGTCCGGATCGGGCGCTCGGTTAGCTGCGATTATTCGTAGCGCTTGTTTTTTTTTTTTTTTACAATTAAATATCTCGTAGTGTCGAATACAAAACTTCGCGAAGGCAGGTGTACATAATATATATATTATATATATATATATATATATATATATATGTATGTATAATAATAATACGTGGCCGTGTGCAGATAGTATAACAGTGAACAGTGTCGGCGCATATCTATCTAGTTGTTTTTTCCTTTGTTTTTCCTTCCTTCCTTCCTACCTTCCTACCTTCCTACCTTCCTTCCTTTCTTCCTCTTATACTGGTTATTACTTTTTCGTGATTATTTTCCTCATTTATACTACGTTCCAGTGGCAGAAACTCTGGGAAAAGGAAATAGTAGTATCCAGCACGATTAACGGTACGACGCCAAGTTTTAACTAACGTTAGAAATGAAAACGCGTGTGTTATCTTATATTTTATTCTTCTTCTTCTTCTTCTTTATTTTCTTCTCTTTATTATTATCTCTTTTCTATTTAATTTGTCTACGTACTTTTTCTACATTTGTATTCCTTCAACTTGGCGAGATAACAAGGAACAAGAGTTTTGACGTTTCGATCTATGACGAGACTTTTAGGGATATGCTCGGAATCTCTGTTTATACGAATATATATATAATAGTATAAAAATGATTTGGTGATAGACGACTTATCTTGTACTTACATTTCGATGTATCTTAGAAAGAGAAAGAAAGAAATAAAGAGATAATTAATTTCGCAAAACGACTTTTAAATCGGCAGCTGCAGGATAGGTCTCTCTGATAAAGTATGTACGCGCGTTGTCGATATAATTAGAACGAGGATTTAAATATGTAGAAGAGAAAGAGATAGAAGTGGAGCAGAGAAGAGTGAAAGAGGAAAAAGAGGAAAAAGAAGAAGAAGAAGAAGAAGAAGAAGATGAGGAGGTGATGGTGATGGTGGTGGTGGAGGAGGAGGAGGAGGAACAGAAACGAGTTGTCCGAATACTTCGCATCAAATTATTCGGCTCGCGTATCATTATTTAAATTTATTCCTTAGCATTATCCGCGTTCGCACGGAAACTTCGAACAGAGACATTTTCGTGATTGTTGTTGTCGTTGCGCGACTTATATTGTAATAAAAAGAAAAGGAATATAAAAAAGGATTAAATGAAATAAAGAAAAGAAAAGAAAAGAAAAGAAAGCAAGCAAGTTAGGGAAAAAATATAAAAATACTATTTCGCGTGTAACTCGAGCGAAATTGTTACCTTCTTCGGCTACCGAGAGCGAAAGTAAAAGTACTACTACACATCGATGGTGCTTATTTAACTCACAACTTTGTTCGTTCCTTCGTTTGTTCGTTCCTTACTTCGTTCATTCGTTAGTTAGTCTAGCCGACATTTAAAGTGCACTTTCTAACGCAGTAGTTCGCGGTTTCATCGGCGGGGATCCTTTTTCGAGCGGACAACAAGTTCGATACAAATGAAAAATTAACCGAGAACCGTCTCGTGAGTCTTACCAACGAAAGCAACGTAAGAATAGAGAGGAAGGGGAATAGAAAAATAGAAAAAAGAAAGAAAGAGATGATACCTACTTACATAGAAGTTTTCGAGATTAACAAAACCGATATGACTAAAAGTCGTAGACAACGCACTCGTGAAAGTAACTTACTTCCACTGTGAAAGAACGATCTACCGGTTTCTTTTGATTATATGAAAGTACGTGTACGCAAGGGAGAACGACCGATCGAGAATGATTTCCATTTATGATACAACGCGTGTTCTCTCCTACACCCGTGACCACGAAGTTCATATTTTTAATAATCGCATATTATCGATAGCAACATTTCACTGAAAATATTTTCTATTTTATATATTCTCTCTCTCTTTCTATCTAATGATCTTTATATACCAATAAGGAAAGTCACGACTAAATAATATTTCTATTCATATAAACAGAGTGAGTGTGCAATAAAGAAAGAAAGAGAGAGAGAAAGAAAAAGAAAGATAAAGAAAAGGTACTAACATATACTTAGATAAGATTTAATATTGTTAGAAATACTCGGGCCTAGCTCTATCGTTCTTATGCGGATATGACCTCGTAACACTACTCTTAGAAGACGATCGGACTGAAAATGGGAAATGGAAAATACAAACGATGATAACAGTGACGTTAATGCCCCGCGGTCGTCGTATGTTCACGAACGTACGTTCGCTCAAACGCCTTGAATTCCCCGCTTTACGTATTTCTTTCACCTTCTCCTCCTCCTCCTCCTCCTCCTCCTCCTCCTCCACCTTCTAATCGTCATCATTATTTTCTTCCTCTTCTTCTTCTTCTTCGTCCGTGTCTTCTTCTTCTTCTTCATTATCAATATTATTCTGTCTTTCTCATTCGTCATCGTTATTCATTTAACTTGTCTTTCCTCGTTCAATTACCACACATGGTTCGTTCGTCAACAGGCGTCTTATCTGCTTTACACCTGGACAAGCAAACCGATAAAACTATCGATGATATATTTTTTCGATTGGTTTCGTTTAATTAAATAACTTACTTGCTATCCTAAGCAGCTAGCTTGTGCAGTCTCGTCAATTTAAAATTCCTTCGAAGAAGATGTGTTCTATTTTGAAAGAAATGCAGCATGAAATCGTCAAAAAGCACACCGGCACTCACCGATCTCTGTCGGATTGCGAAGGCCGTACTCTAGAGACGGAGGCGTCTCGGGGAAAAAAAAAATTAACGAGTGAAAGGAGAAAGGAAGAGAATCTCGTTCTCGAGCTCCTCGAGTACTCTCTACCATCTTTCTCTTTCTCTTATCTCTCTTTCATTTTTTTTTCTTTCTTTCTTTCTTTTTATCTTTCTTTTTCAAATTAAATATTATACGTTATTACTTTCCTTCATACTTGACTTATATAAATATTACAATATTTTATTTATTATTTAAACACCAATACCCCAAATTTATTATTATCCATGTTTAATCGTAAAAAATAAATGTTATTTCTTTTAATGATTGATTACGATATAAATAATTATATATAGATAAACTGTCAATAGATTTAATATTAATTATTCTTCGAATCATGTGCTCAAACTTTTAACGCACGTGTTTTGTTCACATCAAATGATATTATTTTAATGTTTTCTTGTAATCAAACGAATTGAAAATAATTTTCTCACGAAAAACTTCTATAGCATACAAGTAAAAAGTCCTAATAGATTCGATCGAATTTCTATTAAATTCATTGTCGATCGAGACGATTTTCCTCCACGTGTTTATATATCATTTTATCTCGAAATTAACATCCTTCCTTCTCACGTCGACTTGACATAAGTTATATAAGAACAACACCGACAATTATTTTCATAATAGGCAACAGGTCGAACGCGAGTTTCCGATGCAGTTTAAAAAACGTTGCCCGACCAGTTACAATAAAATGAAGAAAGTCCTTCGTTATATTCTCCAAGTGAAATTCCGTTAGGAATGTTAAAAAAAAATTCACTTCGGTGTATAATTTAACGATCAAACTCGACGAAGAATATAATTTAATCCTCGTTCTATCCTCTATTTTTTAATTTTTTGTTTTTTTTATTTTGTCTTCATTTTTTTCCTTTCTTTCTTTCTTTCATTGCTTCTTTTTTTTTTTTCTTCAGCATAGATTAACATTTATCCGACAAATTTTTCTATAAGACCAAACATTTTGTATTTTACATATAAATAGCATTTCAAAAACTTCTTTTAATTTCTTAACAGGTGTCTACTAAATTTATATTCGTTTTATGGAAGTTTCTTCGATCAATCGATCTAATCAAAAAGATTTGCGCGATATAAATTTAACTTGTCAAAAATACTTTATATATTAAATGGGGGATAGATTAAAAATTGAATAACGGTATACTCTTGTATTGTAATAAAGAAATTCTTTCTTATCAATATCGAATAATCTGGCACGTGTTGTAGAAATGGAATAGCCACGTCGTACGAATGTCGGTGCAGCATTGACACATTACAAAGAATTCGGAAATGCGGGGAAACTTCTTTCATTCGAAGAATGATGACAAAAATTAACGAACATTTCCTGAACTGAGAACAAAAGAGAAAAAAAAGAAGAAGAGGAAAGAAAATTCTATTGAAAAAAATAAATCACTCCGCTGGAAGAAGATTTCTTTTGAAAAAGGAAATTGAAAGAGATTTTGTGTGGAGAAAAAAAAAGAAAGAGGAGGAAGAAGAAGAAGAAGAAGAGGGAGAAGAAAAATCGATGAATCTTCTGAAATATCAAAACTTGTAGATACGCGAATGACTCATGGACGTGACAGAAAAGTGGAAATAAAGCATTTAACATTGTGGAAATAAGTCAACTGCTAAGGTAATTATTTATTTCTCACATAATATAATTAATTGTTCATTATTTTCATTTTGTGTTTAAAATTATGAATAACTAAAGGATCATTTGAATAACCTCTTTCATTTTAATTATAATATATTTCTTTGAATGTAATTAATTATCAACTAAAAAAAAAAAACATAAGAAAAACAATTAAAGATATAAGATAAGATTTACTTAGTCGAGAATAAGGAGGTTAATATTTGTAAAATGTAAAAAAAGAAATCGTTGAAAATTATATTCGAGAGAGTCTTTATAACATTGTACAGGAATAAGCAGTACTTTGTATTTTGTATTTCGGTCCAATTAATTATGACACTTAACACTCTTACGCGTTTCGTTAATTAGAGGATTATACTTTGAGCGGAACGTTGGCATGAAATTTAATTGAACAAACGTTCCTCTTATGCCTGGATAGTGTAGATAGTGTCTATATAAGAGTTGCACGTTAAAAGCAGGAAACCACAATTTTGAGATAAGTCTTTTAGCGATCGAAATCTCTTGCTTTTTGTTTTATTCTTTCTACTTTTTCTAATTTCATAAGAGATTACTTCGAATCGTATATTTAAAAAAAAAAAGTCGAGACATATTAGCGAGTCCGGATTATTTGTAGATTTTTTTTCAACGCTCGATTGTATTTCACAAATAAATAGTTTCAAAATATAATAATATAAATAAAATATACAAACTTAAAAGACGTACGATGATAATTTCATTCGTGTTTTCGTCTCTGAAAAGATCTTGACGTTTGCATTCCCTTGTAGTAATGTGCATGAAAAGTATTCACGTGCGTAGGACGAGACGCGACGAGAAGCGAAATACGCAAAGACCGATAACGTTTGGGAAAGGACGCCGACTGCATTCCACCCGAATGAATTCACTGACCGGATCTATACGGACGTGAGTACGATCTCGTTGAGTACCGGAGGACCGCGTGTATCCTGTTTACCTTTTATCATTTATCTATTCTTCTTTTTTTTTCTTTTTTTTTTTTCCTTTTTTACATTTATTTTCAAGGAAATAATCCTCGTGCTGATTTAAAAACGATAATCAAAAATTTATTCTCTTAAGATCATAATATTTATAGTACCGGAAAATCTTCTCGATTTTTATTTCTTTATTTTTTTCATACTAAAGCTTCACAAATAAATAAGTAAGAATATTTAATCGATGTCGCAGTGATCGCCTTTATTGTTTTTTAATTGTCAACTAAAACTCCGACGACCCGTAAAAATATTCATGAATAGTGAGATCATTTGTTTTAGAAAAAATATATGTGAAAAATATTGATCAAACGAATGGAAAGTGCATTAAATGAATTCAATATTAAAATGAAAAAAAAAAAAAAACAAAAAAAGTACGAAAATGGAAATGGGGGTTTGAAAATAGAAAAAGAAAAGCTTTCAGATGTTACTAATGTATTATAATATTATATGTATTTATATGCGTATCATATTTATATTCAATTTTATAAAATAGAGCAGCAACCTAGCTAAATGTAAATAGGTAATGGTGTATAAATTTGAGGTCAACCGTGAATCATTTAAAATGAAAGTTAAACAGACATATGAAAAGATTTCCTATGATTCTTCTTCTTCTTCTCTCACTATTTGTGTCTGTGGAAAGACAGTAGGCGGACGTGGTGTGTAAAAAGACGACAAGCACAGGCATATTTGTCTCGACAATGCGTTATCTTACAATCGTACGGCATAGTCTATGAGGCGACCTTAATAATAGTGCGACACATTTAAAAGCCGTTTCGTTGGAGGAGCCGAAAATACCTTTCTCCTCTTATATTAGTTAGTTAGCTGACGGATCCCAGCGAATCGAGGCTTCCACTCACAACAGTCAGTTGAAAGTCTCATACCATTTTTCTATGAACAGCTGACATGAACCGAAAAATCATCTACTTGGAAACCAGTTAAAAACTAGGATGATTCGATCGTACTTGCATTTCCTTTCTCGATTAACTCGCGACCATCTTTCTTTTTGCTAATTTTCTCATTTTTAAATAATTGCCATTTTTAATATTTTCAATTATTAATGATCGATATTTATATGATAAAATATTAGAGCACAACTGTTAATAATTATTACTTACCTTCCACAAAAAAAATATTTATTTGTATTGACCATTTTTGTTTTATATAAAATCTTGATCAAAGATTCTTATAAATGTTTATTAAATAAATAGAAGTTCATATTTTATATTTATTATATAGATATGTATTTATTATTAATGTCGACCAATTAACTAACGTTATCACAATGATGAATCTCGAGAAATCTAAAGAGGTTATTAATCAGTCATTAATAACCCATAATTATCGAGTAATCCAACCTTTACAGATATCCTATACAACAGGAGATTGCAAGAAAGTCGCGGTGAGATCGTACGTAAATTGCGATTATGACACATATTCTAGACTTGCTCTGAGAAAATAAAAAAACAACGTTCTGATAATGGATAGAAATATAATCCACTTTCGAGAACCGGTTAGTTAAGAATTAATATAAAGTTTGTGAACTCCAAATCCGTGTAGTAATATTGATTCAAACCGGTTTCAAATTGTTCAATTTTTGTATATAACGTTGATTATTAGATTGTTCCAAAAAATTAAAAAGATTATTGAACTCTAGTAGAGTAAAATAATATGGTGGCAATCTAATATCTTAGTAAATATTTTATTCACAATTTGACATTTTAATCGAATATATTATAAATGTGATCGATTATTTATTCATATAGATTTTATTAATCAAAAAAAAAAAGCGGTGAAAAATGAATAAAAAAAATTCTTAATTTACGCGAGAAAAATATACGGGTTATCCCCCCAAGCTCTCTTTATCTGTTTTACTATTTTCCTCGGCTCGTGAGCAAAACAGTCTTTGATCGTCTCGAGAAACGATTTATAGTACATACAATAAGATTTTCAGGGAGATCCCCGCAACAATTTATCTCTCGTTTCATCAAAACGTTTTCACTCCTACGTTTGTTACTTACAAGTATGTACTATATATCAAACGACGAAGTATATATAAGTAAGTAAGTAAGTAAGTAAGTAAGTACAATAGTTCTTATTTCGTTTCGAGCGTACAATTTCCTTTTCACTCTCTTTTATATATTTTTTACAATTTTCTAATAAGAACTTTGACAGTAAATATCTCCTTATCACAAAGTGCACTTCATACAATCGATATTCTTTGAATTATCCAGGAAGACGTCAAGATTAATAATATATATATATATATAAAGATCGATATCTCGATTCGAAGTATAATATATTATCTTTTTTTCTTTTTACATTATTATAAACATTCGTCATTGTTTTTTATAATATACAAAAATCAATATCTCGATCGGAAGTACGATATAATTTTTTGTATGCAATTCTTAATATAAGATCAAAATGAGATCATAGAAAAATCATTCTAACAACGCGCGCATCGTGAACTTATAATTAAGTCAGTTGTAAAAAGCGTAAAATATAGTTACCGGATTACATTCGATGACCTCGATATGAAATTGTTGTTTCCCCTCTCCCCTATTTTAGAATAATATTAATAACTTAGACTCGTAAAAAAAAAAAAGAATCATATCCTTGACTATCTTTTACGAGGTACAACAAACAAACCAAATCGTTTTATGGTATCGATAAGCGGACGATTCACGATTGCATTATATCAACAAAAAAAATGTTCAAATTATTCTGAACCAGATTGATAATGATTTTATATATGTATATATATATGTGTGTGTGTGTGTTATATACACAATTATGCTAAAGAATATTTTTATTTCTTTACGAGTGCATTCGACCTCGCAAATAGATACTATCGACGGAATTTATCTTACGAAGCATTTTCTTTGTTACTATAGAAAGTACGATAACCTGTAGGAAACATTATTACCAGAACAACCATATGTGTAACGAGCAAGTAACAATTCCAAGCCTATCTATTATTTCTGTCATTATTTCTAATCATTAATATTCTCGTCATAAGGGGAACCAAACTGTCTTCGCGTATTTGCATTAAAACATTAAGTTGTTTTTCCCGTTAAAATTTTTATTGAAAATCACAAGACGAAAAATTTCATTTCTTTTTTGTTGTTGTTTTTTTTCTTTTTATTTTCTTTTTTTTTCATTATATTTATCGTCCATTAAAACACGTCGACCGACTACCGGCTTTGTTTTAAGAAAGTAATAGAATTGTAAAGGCCGTTTAGATACTTTCATAATCAACCGTGTCCATCTTGCCATTATCGAAGCTATTGACATACTAGAGAAATATTATTGCTACAATATTACACAACGTTTTAGTGGCGTAATAATAAAGCGAACTGTGTAAATTCGTCACGACGAATGTTCTTCCGATAGTAATATGAATTTCCTTATTTTTTTTTCTATTTTTTTTTTTTCTTTTTTATTTCTTTTTCATTTTTTTCTTCATTTTTATCAATGCGTGATACGTATAAACGCGCGAGTAATACACATTAATATTTAAACTCTTATTTTCGAGCTTTAATATATTTCTTTCAAATATCTCTTCGTAGAATTATCGATATCTTTTTTTTTTTGTTCTTCTTCTTGTATTTTTCAGCAGGTGGCTTGTGTCACACGGCTTTTGTCAAGATAATGCGAAGCCTGGAAAGATTGTCTGGTAGCGATCAGGATTGTGGTGATCAGGAGATGTACATCGATTTAGACGACGCTTCCGTTGACTCGCTTACAGGGAAACGAAGTCGCCATCATGTTGTTGGCACCGAGGTATTTTTCTTTTTTTTTTGATATACAAAACTTTTCTGTATCTTTTTCATATTCATTATTATTCATCGACGATAATTCAAGGGATGATTAAAAAAAAAAAAAAAAAACAAAATAATTCATCGTTCGCTGTATTAATTAAAGAAAACACCTCTTCTTTTCATTTTGAAAAATAAATTTATTAATAGCAATCCACAAATTATTTTTACTTCAAATTTGGTGTTTGCAATGAAATTAATTGTAGATGATAAATAATATCTTAATGAATGATCATAAATATTATCGTATATCGATACTTCAATCGAAAAAATATGAAAATTTATTTAAAAACTGTCAAGAGAATAAACGATTTAGACATTCGATTGCTCCTTGGTTAGTAAATAATTTTTTTTTTTATCAGTAAACGCTATATGCAATAGCGTACTGTGACAAATTAAGTCAGATATCACGGCATTCTTAATCTTATCAATTTCGTTTTGAAAATTTGTTCTGCTCGTTCGACGAACATCAGAATGTATTTTAATTCCTCGCTGGCAATCAACCGAATCACGATTTCGAAAGTTATTATAAAAGTAACGTTGTTCGACACAAGTTTATTATAAAAAAAAAAACCAAAAAAACTTTATAGAAATGATACAGCTGAATAATAAAATCATGTCTCTATTTTACTTTCTTCTAAATACTTCGTTCGTTCGTTCGTAAAAAAAAAAATTCGAAAAGAAATGTTCGCTTTGTAAATTTATATTAAAAATTATACTATATCATTGTCGGTGGATTAGAAAACTTTGTATTATGTAACAATTATAATCTAACAATAAATTTAATCATCGATTATCGATGATAGAGCAATTTTTCTTAAATCTTTATTCGAATCTTATCGAACATATGAACGTTATCGATCCGATTGATTGTACCAAGAAGAAGGTGTAATCGAATAACGTTTAGATCAGTGGTTTTATTTTTTCTCTTAATTCATTGTTTTCGAAATAAAAAAGAAAATAAAAAAATAATGTAAGATTGATAGAAATAAAAACCACAGGTATTTGTGAGAAAGTTGAGAAACCGAGGGGGGCCTTGGATAATTAAATGAAATAAAAGCATTTGTTCGGAAAATGGAAGATCCGGGTTCAGAATTTCGGCACAGTCAATCCAACTGAATCAACTTTGTCATGAATCCTAGCAATAATTCAAGGGATAAAAATAGGAATATTGGGGTTTGTTTATTTGTTTCCGATGTAAAAAACCAAGGTGGGAGAAGAGAGTGACAGTAGCGGTAGCGAGAGGAGCCCGAAGCAAGCGAAAAGAAGAAATCGCAGTGGGCCACCAACGACGCGGAGACGGAAGAGCGGAATTTCAGCACGCGAGAGAAACCTCAGAAGGCTCGAGAGTAACGAGAGAGAAAGAATGAGGATGCATTCGCTTAACGACGCGTTCGAGGTAATCCGCCAGTTCGAGCATCTTAAACAAACAAAAAAAAACTTAAAACTCAGTCCTCTACTTACTTCCGTCATCAAATTCACACCAATGTGAAGAGAATAATTTGTTGAAGACAAAATACAAGGAGGAATTATTATGAATATCCTTTATTCAAAACAAAAAATAATTTTTTTCTCAGCAATTACGCGAAGTAATACCGCACGTCAAAATGGAGAGGAAGCTCAGCAAAATAGAAACATTAACGCTGGCTAAAAATTATATTATGGCGTTGACGAACGTTATATGCGAGATGCGTGGCGAGGAACAACCCTACACGTAAGTATTATTAAAAATGTATAATAGCGTATCCCAAAAGTTGCTTTGGAAAGAAAAAAATTAATATTAATTCATTAATGTGTGTGTCAAATTTAGAACTCCTCCAAGTACTGGTAATAAAACCGGTAAATTAATCCAACAATCTCGTCCATTTACAGTGTTGGTAAAAAAAAAATCGTTAACAATTTTGTCAGTTCGGTAAAGCGAACTTTTGATACACCTTGCAATGTTTCTTGTATTTTTTTTTTATTTGATCAATTGAAATAAATTGAAAAATAAGAATAAAAAGTTCTTCTTATCGAATAAGAAGAAAGGAATGAGACTTGAGTATATACATGTGCATGTATAGTAAGATCTCGATTTCCATTCGACGTGCGACCAATACGAAAGTTTCTAACTCACGAAATCGACCTGAAATCCTTTCGTTTCTTCGGCAACGATAATCGACTTTTGCGACGCGCGTCACGATCCTCGTCGTAGTTGTCTTCGTCGTAGTTGTCGTTCGCGAATAGTGTCGACATTATTTCTCTTCGACTTCGCGTTATGCTTCATTGCCATTCCTTTTCTTTTACATATTATATATAATATATTTTCTATTTATTTTCTCTTTCTTACATTTCTTTTTATTCATCCTCCTTTCGCTTTGTTGAGCACCGATTTTAAATGATCTATTATATTTTTTATTATATGATTATCGATTATTATATTATTATTTGTTACATTATATTATATTTTTATCTCTTGAAAATATTCTATTAAATATTATTTCTATTATAAATAATTAAACTTCGTTATATATCAAAATATCATTTGTAAATTTAATGATCGATAATTTTATAAAAAACTTTCCATACATTTAACGTTCTTACATATTATAAGGTATAATAATTGTTATTACATATGCATACGGTTAGATACGTAAGAAGAAGATATATTAAACGTAACGATAAATACATTTAACTGGTCACTTTGTATTTTCTTATGAACAGTTGAAGATTTACAATGTCTATTAAATTATATGATAGTTGGCATATTGACATTAACAAGTTAATTATACAAATGACATTGTATATATATACTTATTTAAAATATACTTGACGGAAGAACAAAAAAGTGATGTTAAATGAATAGAGCGAAAAAATGTTTAAATATGGAACATATTCGCGAAACGATGAAGAAGAAAATTTATAGCACTTGGTGTGTTTGTTAGTGCAGCCACTTACTGTACAAGCTCTTGTCCATCCTACACACCTTCTCATATTTTTTTTTTTTTTCTTATCTTTTTCCCACTGATGAAAGAGAGACACGTGCTTTTATTTTCATCCTCTCCCTCTCTCTCTCTCTCTCTCTTTTTTCTATATCTTCCCATCGTTACATACTCACTTATATACTTACTTAACTTACTTCATCCTTTCTTACTCGATCTGATCTCGTGGAAGAAATGTAGCACATTACTTTTCCTCTTTCTCTCTCTCTTTCGTTCTCTTTCGTTCTCTTTCGTTCTCTTTCGTTCTCTCACGTGCTTTACTACCATCTCTGATCCACGTGAAAATCTTCACAATTTCGTAATCCTCGTTGCGATTCGTCGTAGCTCACTCATGTCAGCAGAATTTCACATCGCAGTATATTATTCGTCTATGTATCGCGCTGATCAAGGTATTTTCAAAAATATTTCAAAAACTTTTCGCTCACCTTTCAAATTGCCATATATTTTCGTCTACTTTGTATTTATTCTCATTGCCTATCATAAATTTTTCTCTTTATTTATCACACTTTTTTTTTTTTATAGTTTCCAATCGTTATTGTAATGTCTTAATCCGCGTTATTTGTAATTGCACGTTTAAACAAATATATATATTCTTCGTATTATTCGTAAAATTTGGATAAAACTTTTCGACGACAAGTTTAGGCTGCTTGTTTGGCTTGCAGAAGTATTAATTTAATTATAAAAAAAAAGATACGTCCGTAAAATTGAAGAGGGGCAAAAAAAAATGAAATAAGAAAAGAAAAAAGTTATGAATTTAATTACAAATTAATTATACTAAATTTCAATTTATATCGATTATAAACATGGTAATACAAATGTTGTTATTTAAATTATAAATATACATATTCATTAGATTTGTATTAATAATAATAATAATAAAAGTCAAATTGAAAATCTCTAATTGTCAGTGCATTTACAATCTCCTTGCACACAGTTAATGTATTGTTTCAATTATAACGTTATGCTTTAAAAATTATAATAATGTAATCAGTTTGTTACTAGTGAAAATAGAAAATGAACAATTTTGATCTAATCTTTGGCGGCTTAAATATTTATTTCTTCATCGATTTTCACCGTTATTTCGTCACATAGTTTTCACGTGTCTTACGAAGAATCAATCGCGTTGTATTCTTTCTCCCAGCAAACGAGAATGCATAAACGATCGACGTGCATGCGTGTCACGACGTTCGTCGATCGTTCATGGAATGATCGAACGCGTGTTGTACTCTTTTTTTTGTTTCTTGCGATTCCTCGAATCGTACGAAATCGTTCGAATATTTCCGCAAACATCAGCATCATACGTCTCATCGTTTTTATTTTCTTGATTATTACGACAGAAAACTCTTCAACAATTTTTCCTGACTTCGTATCGATTATATTTTTTCTTATGTTTCAATTTTAAACAAAATTATATTTACGATTTTGTCAATGATGTGATCAAACATCGAAAAATATAAATGTTCCATATTTTTTTCACAATACACATTTCAATATCTTAATTAGATCGTCATGGTATTTATAACAGTAACAAAGTTGCATCAAGATTGCATACTGATGCAAGGTAATACTATCATTTCTTATTTGAAATACAGAATATTATTTTTAGTACGAGTTGACGAAAAGTTTCATAAAATATTAGAGTCTTATATTTTGTATTTAAAAATTGTATTCCTCCGTCTCTCTCTCTATCTTTCTTTTATGTTAATTCAATGACCGATACCAATCTCAACACGTTCGATAGCGTTTTACACGTTACTCTCGACATAAACTACATTTCTCAAACTTTCGTAAGAAAGTTGCTTCGTGGATGTTACCTTTGCATCGGTATTCCTCTCGATTATTCACATCGTAATTAGGTCAATCGACTGCTCAACCATTCCTTCTTTCTGCTTGCACCGCTATAACGGCAAATCCGTGAACTCAATGTTCGGTTCGGTATTCACCTTCGTGATCTTACCTTCCATATCAATTTCGGTAAGGAGATCGTACGATTGAAAGAAAAAAAGGAAGACAAAAATATGAGTTTTAAAACGTGTAAATGTCACGTCTGTATAGTTAATAAACTCGTTTGAAAAATAGTCGATAACGTTGAACGACTTAGCAAACATGATTTTTCGATAAAATCCATTTATACGATGCACGAGTCGCTTTTCGTTATCTAAGTGTTAGACTAAAACTCGAACGGATATGCTTAACAAAATTTTTTATTATTCGAAATAACACACATACAGACAATAAAATATATTCTTCTTGATAAACGACTAAACAATTTCTTTAGAAGTATGATTGCTTTTTTTCTTTTTCTTTTTTTTCGTAACTTTATTTTCTCTAAAACGTTAGAATAATTTTAATTTTGGTATTAATTACGGTATTAATTATATACTTTTTTTTTTACTTTCGTTCTCTTGGTTCTTTTTTTGGTTTGTTTGTTATCATTTTATTTTACTGATTTTTGAGTTACCAAGTTATATAAATTCATCGATAAGCTACGATACACTTGCACGAAGAACTCTCCTCAATCGCAGCACTCCTATCGACGATATTCACTGACTTTCGAAACTATAAATGCTCATGAATATATATATGTGTATATACATTCGTGTTCATGTCGTATATCTACTCCCGTGTGAACGTTCAATACGGAAAATTGTATGTTTTATTTAATCTGACAACGTTACTAACAACAAGCCAATTTTATTCACGAATTCGAAATTTTAACGTGAAACGTTACATTATATCTGACCTAACTTTTCGTACTCGAATATAACATTAAATTAATGTATCAATTAATAAATAAATAAATAAATAACGAAGGAAAAAAGACAGGATCTATTTAATCGATGACTTTTAACGTGACTTCTAAGTTAATAATAAAGAATAAAAATCGTGAAAGTTGTGCTTTTATAAACGCGAGATCTTTTATTCCCCATTGAAATTTCTACATAAACGTGTTTTCGATAAACTTTGTTATAATATATTATTTCTCATATTTAATACTTTTTATTGACATTAAAAACGGTTAAAGTGGCATTTTATCAAACGACCTTTGCTACTAAAGTAAGTACTTTGTGCGGATATTATCTCATCGTTTGCCAAAATAAAACGACCGGCTTTACTCCGACTATTTCGATTGCGATCTATCGCGAACAAACACGCACACGTATCAAATATTAAATATATATATATATATATTATTAACAATAGAGTTAACTCGAGTTTCGCACAAAAGTAACAGCAACGTGTGTGTTCTTCTGTCAATCTTTCATTTTAAGCCTCTGTAATGTCATATTTAACTTTCAAGTTCCATACTTAAAAGTGTATACGTATATATATCCGTATATTTTTCTTTATATTTATTTTATCAGTAGAAAATTATTTATATATAGCGTTACAAAATTTGATTTTGATGAAAAGTAAGAAAATTATAATCTCGGTTTAAATCGAAACGAGTTATGTCAGTTGCAACAAATGTAATACATACTTAATGTACGTTTTATGCAGATCATGACATGATTTATTATGACACCAGGGTCAAGAATGGAAAAACGCAGGCGCCCGTATTTTTTACCAAAGGGTTGACACGCTCTGTTCGATTTATTTATCGGAAATCCTTCTTTCCTTTTTGTTTTTTTTTGTTCCCTTATCACAACTAGACGCGATAACGTGTCATGTTTGTATAATTCAAACTTCAAAAATATATATAATACAATAGTAATCGGACTATAATTTAGAATGTGTAATCTTTCCGAGACAAATTTTTTAATTGATTACCGTTACGTAACGGGCGTGATTACATCACTTTTAATTAGCAAATTACTCGCGGTAGAGTAAATAAATTCAAAGAAGAACATAGTGGCACGTTGTGTGATTTCTTTTTTTTAGTTCTTTTTTTTTTTGCTACCAATTAATATCACCCACACACACACACACACACGGACATAATTAACATATATTTTTCTACAAACAGGTAACAAGCAAAAAAAAATTACCAAATTTATTATTCAAGTCGAAACGTTTATTTCGTTAAGTGAATTCCTTGATAAAGTCCACGGATTCAAAAATATAAATTAGTACGTATATTAAAGTGCATGGAACTCATAAGGTTTATTCGAGTTTATTCGATTTCGATTATTAATGGTAAGGCCGCACGAGGCCAAGATCGAGTCTCTGAAATTTGAAAGTGTCATCGGTGATAAATTATGATATCTCGATTTATCGACGAACATTCGACCGATACACAAACTTTGGTAAAAATAAGTCTCGTCGAAAAAAATTCTGTTATTAAAAACAACCAAAAGATTAGCTTATTAACAAGCTTATTCGTGAAATTTTTAATACGAATTGTTTCAAGTTGAAAAAAAAAAGAAAAAAGTGATTATGCATGTAAATCCAAGTAATTTTCATATTACACGATCTTCAGGTTTCAATAATATTTTATTTTATGCGAATTTGTGTTATACGATTGAAAAAGAACAAGTTAAAAAAAAAACAGGATAAAAGATTTACAAAATTACAAATACTATATTATTTTTCTTTTACAATTTTTCTTCTATAATTGTTATCTTTTATTAAAAAAAAAAAAAAAAGAAAAAAAAGAAATACGTTTATTAAAACGATGATTGAATCGATCGAATATATTTTTTCGTATCTACGCGTATTTGTCTGTACCAAATAATGAATAAAAATCAATTTAAAAAATTCCGAGTAAAAATTTCACTTTAATACGAAATAACGGAATTAAAATAATTCTTCAAAACTTTCACTTGCGGCCCATGTTGTACAGGGATTTCCCTGATTCTCAAACGTTGTTGAAACGAAACTGTCCCGGGTATTTCCCACAATATTCTAGCTATATATATTGTAGAATGTTATGATGTTACATGTGGGTTACCAGTAACTTACTACACGCATATAAAAATAATATCCATTAAAAATACTTTTTTTTTCCTTTTCATTTAGAATTAGTAATCGAAATATAAAATACGTTAATCTAAGAATATGTATATTTTTATTTATTTGTAGATTCGTTGACGGTGAGTGTGGGTCTAACAGCGGGGACAGTACAGGTCAGTTAGAACTTAGCAGTGGTGAACAACTCGAAGAGGCATCTCCAGCGTCTATACTTGAGACAAACAACAATAGTTTACTACACGAAGATTTAGAACGCAGGATACCTTAGCCGTTTTAGCTTTGAAAAGCTAAGGGTCGCTTTTGCTTCTTCAACAATAAGACCCCTGGTATTCGGTGAAGAATTTATTTTCTATAAAACTGTCGGCAGCAAATATCGAGATTTGCAGAACAGGAAGCGATACCTCGCAGGAAAGTTTAACCAAAAACCCAGAGAAACGAAGGACGATGATGATGAGGAGGAGAAATGAATAAGTAGGTGATCAAATAAAATGGAAGATGTGAGAAACGATCTTCTTTAGACTCGTATGCACGGATAAAAGTGAACAGAGAACGAGAGAGAGGCAGAAAGAGAGAGAAATAAAGACGACACCACGAAAACGTGTATATATATATATATGTATATATATATACGCACATATATACGTACACAGTACAGGTGTGGTTACTGCCTTTGCGAATCAATTCGTTCCAATCTCTCTTTCATGAAGTGAGAACCCGTATTTCCTGTACGTAATATTATTAACACATTTTTTGTTCCTGATAATTCATTTCTCTCTTTGTAATGCTTGAAATAACGTTGAATAACGTTAGTAGGGTCGTCCCCCGTTTGATATTATATTTAATTAATGAAAATAAAAATGAAAAGAGATTTACAAAAAAAAAAAAAAAAATATCGTGGTAAAATTCGAGAACTAATTGTATATGTAGATATGTGAGTATATATATATACAGGGGGTTTCAAATTTTCCCACCAAATATATT